GTCTGATGCGCCCTTTCCGTTTGACCATCGGTTTGCGGGTGGCGAGCCGAACTCGGCTTCAAAGATGAGCCCCATCGCTTGACGAGGGCGACCCAAAAGTCGGAGAGAAAGCGAGTGTCCCGGTCGCAAACGATCTYCTTGGGGTAGCCCTTGGAGCGAATCCAACCGGTGTATAAGACTTCGGCTAACTCCGGTGCCTTTGCGTGATAGCGGCAAGGCAAAAACATGGCGTACTTGGTGAGGCGGTCAACGACTGTGAGGATCCCATCAACGCCGGTCTTGTGCTTCGGGAAGGGGCCGGTGATATCCATAGCAATTGCTTCCCGTCGCCCAAGGGGCACTAGTAATGGGTGTAGCTCGTTGAACGGACGATGGTTGAGTGACTTGCAACGCGGACAGACTTCGCACGACTCACAGTACCGGGTGGCGTCCTTGAGAAGGTCGGGCCAATAGAACCGCTGGCGAAGTCGGCCAAGTGTACGGTTGACACCAAAATGTCCGGAGGCGGGCGCATCGTGAAACTCGCCAAGAAACCGTGTGCGCAAGTGTGAATCATTCCGCACATAAAGACGATCCTTACCCCGTGAATGCACAAGTAAGTAGCCCTCTTGAATTCGATAATGCGAAGGCACCGGATTTGGAGAGGAGCAATTCGCGTACTTTTCGCGAAAGTGGGGGTCGGCTTGATAGCCGCGGATGAAGCTCTTCCGCACGTCGTCGTCGATCTCGAAGGTAGAGTAGACTGCGGTGCAAAGATCCGGTCGCCGTGAGAGGGCGTCCACAAAACAGTTTGACTTCCCGGGAATGTGATCAGGGAAAAAGTCAAACTGGTCGATGAAAGYCATCCAACGGGCAATGGTACTGTTAATCGTGTCTTGCGACTTGTAGAATACCAACGGATTGTTATCCGTTACCCAGCGGAATGCTTTTCGACCAAGGAGGAAATATCGCCAACGCTTGAGGGCGTGGACGAAGGCAAGAAGCTCCTTCTTCCGTGCTTTGTACCGGGCTGACTGAAGAGTCTCTAGAACACGGCGAAGGTGCTTGAGATGCTCCTCTAAAGTTGGGCTATAGACGAGGATGTCGTCTAAGTAGACCAAAACGAAGCGGTCCAGCATAGCGCGAAACTCGGTGGTCATGGCCGCCTGAAAGGTGGCCGGGGCATTGGTGAGGCCAAAAGGCATAACTACTCACTCAAAATGCCCATATCGTGTCTTAAATGCGGTTTTGTACCGATGTTGCGGGCGGATGGAAATCTGATGGTAGCCCGACTTGAGGTCCAACTTCGAAAAGTACTTGGCGCCGCCCAACCGCTCAAGCAAATCGTCAATGCGAGGTAGAGGCCCCGCGTTCTTGATGGTTTGCGCGTTGAGGCGTCGATAGTTGATGCAAAGTCGAAGGTCCTTATTCTTCTTACGAACGAAGAGATTGGGCGCATCGTAAGGTGAGCTGCTAGGGCGGATCCAACCCTTGTCGAGTAGATCGTCGAGTTGCGCACGGAGAACCATGAGCTCCTTCTCAGACATGCGATAAATGCATCCTTTCGGTGGCACGGCTCCGGCCTCAAGTATGATCTCGTGAGAGATTGGCCGGTCCGGCACTAGACCGGAGGGTGTCTCAAAAACATCCGAGAACTCGTCTAACAACCGGGTCACACGGGGGTCGGAAGACACTTCTCTGAACGATGAATCGGTCGTCGGGACGGTTCGAAGCAAAGCGATGCCAATTTCTTCGACATGCTCGGAACGGCATGTGTCTCGAAAAGATTTGGCACTCACGACTTGGCACCTAATGGAAGAGCGAGGAGGAGGAATAGTACACGGGACCTCGGCGCCAGTTGCATCACGAATCGTGAGCGTGCGTCGATGGAAATTGACCGTGTGGTGCGCGCTAGAAAGCCAAGGCATCCCCAAAATGACATCGAAGTCGGTGTCCAACACGTCAAAAGTGACGGGTTCATATGCGTGCGGTGCAAAATACACCGGGACAACCGAGATGTAACGGTCTAAAAGTTGTTTCGTCTTTCCGTCGGCAAGAGCGACCGTCGTCGGATGTGACTTTCTCCGTACTTGTGCGCCAAGGCCAGCCCGAGTCATGAAGGACTGGCTGATAAAGTTGCGAGTTGCGCCGCAATCTAGCAAAGCGTTGCAGGCCGCTTGCCCAATCTGAWTGCGAACGTAGAGCAACGGTGCGTTGTTTTCTTCGTACCGTTGCGAGACAAACTCGCGGGCCACCTTGGCAACGTATCCAAGCATGTCCCCCACCGCGACTTCGTCTACCGTTGGCGAAGTTGGTGGTGCATGGAAGGAAAGATACTGGTGTAAGAGGGAGCATAGGGCTGCGCTTTGCGGCCCCGGAAGGTTGCCCGTCGTAGGGAGAGGAATCCAAGCGAAGTCCTCGGGCGTGAGCGGGTCCAAAGCCTCCTCGTTGAACATGCTTGCCGAATCCCTTGATGAAGACGAACTGGTGGAAGAACCTTCGGACGGTGAGAAAGCCGCACATGTATCTTGTCCTTGAGAAGCATCCAGTGAAGGAACGAGCCGGGCAGCGAAGTCTTCGAACAAAAGTGGAAGACTCCCGACATCCGCATATGCCTCGGAAGAAAGGGCGGTCGTGCGCACAACCGCTTTCGATGGCGTCGAGGGAGGTGTCGAGTCACCCTCGGCGGCGCCTATTTTCCCTGACGGGGTTTCCCCTTGGTGGGGCAATGTGCAGCATCGTGGATGGTGTTGTTGCATCAAAGGCTGTAACGGTACTTGAGTCTCGTGCGATAAGAATTCACCGAGAGTCCGTATTGTGCCCAAGGTTCGTCGGCGGCTGATCCGTTGCTCGGTGTAGAGGTGGACTGAGTCTTCGTCTTGTCGCGGCCGTGGTTGTTGCGCGGCCGGCACCATCCCGGGCAGCTGCCAACACTTCACCCTCGTTTGGTGTTGCAGCCTCGGTAGAAGTAAGGCAAGCCACCTTTGGCTTGGGCTGGGTGCCGCTCGTCGTCGCGGAAGATCGGCCGGCGTTGCGGGCTTCCATATTCGGGAGAATGATCCGTGACGCGGTGCTGAAAAGCTTGTCGGATGTGTCGAGTGTCTCTGCAATCTGCGTCAGCGCGTTTTGCAGAGCTGGACACGAGCGCATGATAAACAAGTGCTTAATGGCGCGGAAAGCAAGCGGCAGGTCAGGTGTGGAGGCRAGKYYTTGRAACTCKGTAATCCAGTCCTGACTGAGCAGCGTGTTCTGATGGAGCTTGTTGAGCTTGTCCATCGCTTGCAGGTCGGGCGGCTCCACTTGGAATCGCTTGTGCCACGCGTCAGTCAACTCCTGCCAAGTGAGCTTGGTGTGCGGTTCCGACACTGCTACGCCGTGGTTGGTCAAGATGTTGTCCAGCCATGCTTGACATGCACCACCAGATCGGTGGTACAAGCACGGATGTCGATC